CCATTCCACAAGAGATGAAACACCTCAGTAATTAGAAAGTCACCTTAGAGATGCTGGGCAAAGTAAAACACTACAACTATGTAAAATAAAACCAAGATCCAATTTGTTATCTATTTCAACAGCAAACATTAAAAATACACCTGGCATTTTCTAACAATTACATAGAGAATGACCAGATGCTTCCTGTTGATCCAACAGTAGAGAACTACAGACTGACAGATTCAGTTGAGAGTTCACGGAAAAAACTGAGAATGTAGCTTCCAACCAAAACCAATTAAAGCAAAGTAAATAAAACCTTAGAAAACCCACATTAACTCCAGAAGACCAATAACTCTAAACCTACAGCACCACACCAGGAAAATATATATATATATATATATATATACGAGGTATACATGTGCACTATTAAAAGTATTTAACGAAGTTTCACTGCAGGATTCCTTTTAAATCTGGAGCTCTGTTAGTGCTAGCTTCAAAAACAGTATTTACAACCAACTTTTCATAAGAACATCTAATATGGGAATCATGTTTTACTTATGTACATGATTAAAAAACAGAAATTAAAAAGTAATCACTTATATTTTCCAATGTTCAACACCCCTTCAAGATCATCAGAATAATGCAATCCATATTCGTGATAGTTTATGTACCTAAATACTAACCTTAAGAAAGCTTAAAGAACCCAAGGAAAAGTGTTAAAAACCAACTTTCTTAGCCCTATTTTTTGTGTATCTTACATAATATAGGGAGTGTGGCTGTTGTTAAGTGCCATCGGGTCAATTCCAACCCATAGCGACCCTGTACAGTTTCCAAGGAGCAGCTGGTGAGTCTGAACCACCGACCTTAATAGTTCAAACGACTTTGCTGAAAGTCTGACACATTAGCCCACAGTGCCGCACCAGGACTCCAGTGAGTGCAGTAACTCTGTATAATAAACACTAGACTGAAGACCACAAGGTTGGTGGTTCACGCCCACCAGTCGTTAGATGGGAAAAAGAAGAGACTTCTGCTCCCTCAAAAATGTACAGCCTAGGAAACCCTATACAGGGTCACTGAGTCAGAACAGACTCCACAGCACTTAACAACGTATCTTGATGTGATTTATACGGTGAGAGCAAGGCAGGAATAACACAAATCTCAGGATAAAAATACATAAAATGAGGCATGAATGTACAGTGGAGTTTCCCAGCAGTTAGTTACATGATATGATTTCCAAACAAATTAAATGCAGAAGTAGACTTAAGTATCTTCTATTAAACCAGGTCTTAAAGAGAATTGCAAAAGTGAGTTTACGTTCATGAATAACAAATCCAAGCAGAAAAGGAGAGAACGGATGTACAATTCTAAGAATGTAATCAATGCCACTGAAATGTACATGTAGAAATTGGTGTATTTGTGTATATTCTCAACAAAAAATAAATGTAAAAAAAATTTGCAGTAATACAAGCAGTGCCACTCCACTTACACATGATTTATGTTAACATGTAATGAATCAGTAAATACTTCAAAAGAAAGAAAATTAAGAAAAATAAAGTTGTCTTTGGTTTCCTTCAATTCGGTCTGACTGGAAGTGTCAAGGCTGATAGCTATGTGTCATTGAGAAGAAATTTAAACTAAAGCGAGTGGTTCTTCAGGTGGGGTAAAGCATCCACAAAAGGATTGTTTTAACCATTAACTTCTGCACAGTCGATTATGGTACATTTTTAATTCTGGGATGCAAACTGCTTTTACAAAGGTATTTTACTGGCAATATCAAACCTTTTTCCAGACAAAAACTAGGTCTGAAAGTAACTTGCCTGAATCGACTCAGAAAAATCAGTGTCCGGAGAAATAACTTAAAATATTTGCCATTACCAAGCCCCCTTCGAAAGTATGTTTCGGCCCCTCCTTTGAACAGATGTCTGTTTTGCTACAGTCCAATCAGTTTTAAAACAGGGGTATGTGTACAGAAAATAAGTTTCAAGTGGGAAAACACACACAAAGCAGACCTACAGAATTCCTTTAGTCTGTTTTCACTATGCACCCGGGATGCTAGGCAGTCTGAACAAGGTTGGAGCGCTTCAACGAAAACACACAAAATACACGCATTAACGGTGCCAGGCAGAAATGACCTGGCGAGATTCGCATCTTCTTTCCCGAAGCCGTCGCACTCGCAGGTCCCGCGGCAAGACCCTAAGACTTAGTCCGGAACATCCAGAAGAGCAGGCTTCGTACCCTCAGGGAATTCAAGTCCCCAAGACCATGGCAGTCGCCGCGCGGGACGGGCTGGGCTCTCCCGTTAACCCTTTCTGGGCCGTCCGCTCCCGCCGCGGCCCGAGCGCCTCCCGAACACGCGGGCCCCTCAGCACAACGCGCCTGGGGCCCGCCGCCCCTTCCTCGTACCGGGAAGCCCGGCAGGGTCGTCAGGCCGCTCAAACAAAGGAGCAGACGGCACAAGGCGAGAGTCCGGGCCGCGCCTGGCTCCTCGTCCGCACACCGCCCGCCTCCCGGAACACGCAGAGCCCCCCGCCGCCCCGGCGCGATCCCGGCCCGGCCCGGCCTCTCGGGACCGGTCTGGTGGGAAACTGCGAGGAGGACGCGGCGCGCCAGGCCCGAGGAGGGGGCGGCGGCCGCCACCATGTCTGCCAGCCCCTCCCAGAAGCGGGGTGCCCAGCGGACAAAGCGCGGCGGCGGCGCGGGCGAAGCGAGCGCCCAGGCCGACCCCGCCGACCCCCACGGAATAAGCGGGGCCAGGAGCCCCGGAAACCCGGCGCCTTAATGCAATAAACAGGAAATCGCGGGGATGATCTGGGTTCCGGGGGAAGTGGAATTATTTTTTACCAGCGAAGAGATCAACTTCCACATCCGGTGGTAACAGGGCCCTACACAGACCCGCACTGACCTGGAAAAGCTTCGGGAGCGGCGACGGGGGAGCAGCAGGAGGTGGTGCGGGGACCCGAGGCACCTCGTACCCGGCCGGGCTGACGCGGCCCCGCTACACACAAAGTGCTTCAGCTGCACAGGGCGCTATTTTCCGAAAATGCCGCGTCTGGTCGGCGCCCAAAATCCCCACCGAAAAGTCCCCCGTGCTGCGCGCGGAAGGACACATGGTGTGCGAGTGAGTCAAAGCTCCCAGCATCCCTCCCGGACCCGGCCCTCAATCCCTTAGCCTCAGCCTTTTCCGCCCCTGTCCTCGTCAGCAGATGCTTCTCCCACCCACCCCTGACCCCAGTTAGAAAAGTGAAAGGGGGGAGATATGTAATTTTTATTTTTTATGGAGGAGAGGAAAATGTCATTTCTACAGCTGCCACACAAAGAAACGGCGGACTGATCTGCGGCCGCAAGTCCCGGCACTCCCGGCGCCTGCGCGGCAGCGGGGGTGGTAGCTGCGGCCGGCCATGTGCGCGTCGGAGGTGCCGGTACATCCGCGGCCCTTTCCCGCCTGTTTCTGCGGTGGGTAGGAGTTTGGAAACTGATGTACGTGCACTAAGCACCCTTGTCTCTCCGACAGGACCATTGAGAGACTAGAAACCGGGGCTACTTCAGTTTAATTTACCAGTTCAGCCGCGTATCAGCCTAGAGGCTAGATGGAACGCAAAGTGGCCCTAGATTGAACTAGGCCTACTAGGAGGGTCGGGTCGGATGTTCCTTAGCCACTTCGCATAAACTTAGCAGTCAAGTTTCTCTAGTCCTGTTTTTTGTTTTTTCCCCAAGCGTTGCATACTGTCTCATACTGAGTAGATACATAGTAACTGCTTCCTGGAATGCTAGCACTTTAAGTAGGTAGAGGTTTGTTTTCCCAAAATTAGAATGTCAAAAGATTTTTAAGTGGTCTGTTTTATTGAGAAAGTTGTAAGTGCCATTGAGTCGGTTCCAACTAAAGAGTGACTCTGTATAGGGTTTGCGAGAATTGGCTGGTGAGTTTGAACCTCCGCCCTTGCAGCCCAGTGCGTATCCTACAGGAACACACCAGGGCTCCATAAAGTTGCAAACTTTTATTTTGAAATTTGTGTGAGTTGCTGAGGAATCCAACATTGGTATGTTTTTAATGGGGGGCCGTGGGAACGGTTTTTGCGATTTTTGGCATCCTGTATTTTAAGAGTCCTGGTGTGGAGCTGTAGAATAAAAACACTGGACTGCTAACTGCAATATCTGCGTTTCAGACCCACCAGCTGCTTCTTGGAAACCACCCTGTACAGGGTCGCTGTGAGCAGAAACCGACTCGATGGCAATAACAACGTACCTTACAGTTGGGACTGTCTGGGGCAATGCCGAGAGTTTAAACCTAGAGCGTTAAATGCCATCCAGTTGGTTCCGACTTAGGGACCCTGTATAAAGTTCCCTAGGAGTGGCTGGTGGGTTTGAACCGTTGGCCTTGCTGTTAGCTGGTCCAGTGATTCATCTCAGGCCATTTTTCTCCCGTTTACCATTTTGTAATACTGATGTAATAAAGATTTGCAGTTACTGTGCAACTGTAAAATAAAAGCAAGCTATAAATGACATAGCTGCATGTTTTCTGTGTGCTTTTTCATGATTTAATATTTGCATTGCTTCAGTTGGCAAACATCTGTCTGGATTTTTATGTCACATACTTTTCCTTTAACGTTGAGTTTATTTAGATAAGTGGAGTTCTAATGTGGCACTGTAGGATAAGCACATCCACAAAATCTGAAACCCACCAACCACTCTTGGAGAAAAACCTATGTTAACTGCCTAGAGCCAATTCCTACTCAGAGACCTCTTATAGAGTTTCTGTGGGTTTGAACCACTGACCTTATGGTTTGCAGTCCAGTGATTATCCTACAGCTCCACACCAGGACTCCTGAAAACCCTATGTTGTTAAGTGTGGTCAATTCGGTTCTGGCTCATAGCAACCCTGTATAGGGTGTCCGAGGCTTTAAATCAGCAAATGCAGAAAGTTTCATCTTTCTCCCTTGAAAATCCTATATTGTCAGGGGCCAGCAAGTCGGTACCAACTCAGCAGTCCTGTGCACACAGAAAGAAACACTGCCTAGCCTTGCACCAACCTCACAATCAATCATTGCTACACCTGAGCCCATTGCTGCCGTCTCTGTGCCAAGCCGTTCGTTGGGGGATCTTACTTTTTTTCTCCGACTCTCCACTTTACCAAACATTCTTCTCCAAGACCTGATTCCCTCCTGATAATATGTCTGAAGTATGAGAGATGGCCATATTGACTTCCAAGGAACATTCTGGCTGTATTTCTTCCAACACAGATCTGTTTGTTCTTTTGGCAGTCCATGCTACTTAACAATATTCCCCGCCAAAATCATTACTCAAATGCGTCAATTCATCTACGGTCTTCCTTATTCACTATCCAACTTTCTCATGCATAAGTTATTGAAAATACTGTGGCTTGCATTGTTGTTGTTAAGGGCTGTCGAGTCAGTTCCCACCCACAGCAACCCTGTATAGGGTTTCCAAGGAGCAGCTGGTGAGCTTGAACCAATGGCCTTGGTGTTCAAACCAACTTTTCAGTCCAGCACATTAATTCACAGCGCCGCACCAGGCATGGATTAGGTGCACCTTAGTCCTTGCTGATTTCTTCACTCTTGATCACTTTAAAGAGGTCTTGTGCAGCAGATTTGCTGAATGCAATACATCTGAAAACCCTACTGAGGGTAGCTGTTTGAACTTGGTACTTAACAATGAATGCCATACATTCTTGCAGTCATAATCTTATGCTATAGGCAGACAAATCAATAGGCATCATCAGTGGTATGAACAAAGTAAGCTGCTGAAAAGATTCTCAGAGGAGAATTTACTTGGGAAACGGGGGGCAAAAGCGTGCATGGAGTGGGACTGGAGAAGCAATTAATAGGAGACCGCCGGGGGAAGGGTCTTTCAGTTGGAAAAAGCAATAAGTGTAAATGGTAGGAGGCAAAACACAGGGGAGACTGTTGGCTGAAGAAGGCAATGCTGCTTCTACGAGCTGTAGAGATGTAGCCATGTGAATTCATGAAGGGCTTTGAAATGCTGTGTACTGGAATTTGCTTCTGAGAACCAATAGAAAGACAATGAGGATTCGGTTTGCATTTTAGAAAGCACAGTTAGACAAAACTTGGAGGCAAAGTAGACAATTTGGACAAAACGGTAATGCAGTGCAGAAGAGCATAATGACTTGCACTGAAGTAGTGCCAAATAAGAGCAAAGAAAATGGCCAAAGTGAATATGAAGTGGTTGATGATTTGGTTGCTGGGTAAGGGAATGATGAGAAGATAACATCAAAGATGGCTCATAAATGTGTTGGAGGAGCAGCTGATAGGATGCTAGTGTCTTCCTTGAGATTAGAAACAAGGGGAGAACACAGCATGTTGGGTTGGAATAAATTTCAGTTTTGGTCATGTAGAATTTGAAGTGCCTGCAAACAAACCTTATTTTTTTAAAGACCAGGAAAGATAATATCCCATAATAAGTTCCATGAAGAAAATAAAGGATGGTTGGATAAAGTGTTTCTGTGGGGGAGAAAGCAAACTCTTGATGATTGATCCAAGATTGCCTTACTGAAAAGGTATTCTGTAAACTGGGACTTGAATGGAAATAAGGCAAGGGCAGTATGCCAGACCAAAGGGAATAGCTGATCAAAGGCCCTAAAGTGAGAAGTTTGTTGTGTTGAGGGAGCAAAAAGAGACCAATGTGACTTAACTCTAGTGAACAAAGCAAGAAATTGTAGAACTCTCCAGAAGTGTTAAATCCCATGAAAACCATTAAAAGGTTTTCAGGAATGGATTATCAATACTCCAGGGCTAAAGTCAGAACCTGGATCATAGGGATCCACGTGAAGTGTTGCTCTTCATCCTGAATGATGCACTGACCATCTAGTGCTCGCTTCCTAGTCTCATGCATGATAGTGTAATTCCCAGCACAGATACCGTCCCATCGTTTGGTAACAGTAATGATAGAGGATGGATACAAGAGATATTTTGTGATTAGAATTGACCAGTGAAATATGAATCAAACATGAATCAAGGTTCAATTCATTCCTAGATCCGCTAAGCATGGTTAGTTGGGCTGATGCTGTCCAATAAAATATTTTAGGTGTTTTACATTCTTTTTTCATTACTATTTGAATTCTAATCTAATGTCTATTTTACACTTAAACAGTACATCTCAATGCTTGATTTAGCTTTCATAAAATAGATTGTTGAAAAAGTAAATTCACATACCTAAGTCATTCTAAACTTATGTTTCCTAATAACTAAGTCAAATAACAGGTTTATTTGAAATCTAATTTTAAATTAATTAAAGTTAAGATTAAAAATTCAGTGCCTCAGTTATGCTAGTCACAATGCTCATTAGCCACATGTGGCAAGTTGCTAACTTACTGGCTAGTGTAGTGTAGTGGAATAGAAGATAGTGGAAAATTTGTTGTTAAGTGCCATCAAATTGGTTCCGACCCATAGCAACCCTGTGTAGGGTTTCCGAGGAGCAGCTGGTGAGCTTGAACTGCCAACCTTGCAGTTCAAACGGCTTTGCAGTCTGGCGCATTAACCCACAGCACCACACCAGGAAAATTAGGCTCCGCAAAAACTTTGGAATCAGCCTGGAAGATCTCGGACTATAGGTTGAAAAATTGTGATTTAACCCAAGAGATACATGAGCAGTGGAAGATGTGTGAGCTGGAAGTAACACTCTCATGCTTAAGGCTGGTGAGAGACGGTTGAAACTAAAAGCAACCCTTCACTTGGGTCCCTACAGTCCAGGCTCTGGCTTCAGCCCTGCAGATTTAGAAGTATGATTTTTGTCACTTCTCTAGAGCAGTACCATCAGAGTTAAGGTCCATAGGCTTGTGCCAATCCATTAAGCCTTTGTTACTGATCCATGGCAAGACATTTGCAAAAATTGAGTGTAAAAATGTAGAAACTTTTATAGCAATTTAACAAATTTGTGTGCAGATCTAAAAAAAAAAAAGTTGAGCTTGTATCATACATGCCTTAATTTTTGTTTATTTACCTTTTCTAGTCATTCATTTTTATTGTATTTTACTTTAAAATGTTTATGATGTTTCACCATAGATAATTTATGAAACTCTGGAGGTGTCCAAACAAAAGGAATCAGAAAGATCAAGTTCCTTAGAAAACTTATCTAAATCTAAATGCCTCTTTTTTTTACTTTATAATGTCTAAGGACTCCTGGTATGGAACTGTAGGATCAGCGCTGGACTTAAAACCACAAGTTCAGAGTTCAAACCCACCAGCTGCTCCTCAGAAACCTTCTTCAGGGTCACTATGAGTCTGAACCAACTTGATGGCACTTCACAACATCATAACGGCTAAGAGAGGAATGGACGTCAACTCTT